ATGTAAATAGATATTTTAATATTGAGTTACTGTGTGTAAACATTGAGGTATAATATTATATATCTATGATTTAGCAATAACATACAAAGGTGTAGTAGGAGGTATGATGAGGGTATGATTACTGAAGTGACAGTAAAGGAATTTAAATTTGAAGTAATGATAGCTGCCACTCTTCATCTTATAACCACTAGGTAAGATGGTTGTAATGGTAGCTAAAGGTTAAGTGCATTTAAGGGGAATGCGTTTAAGGGGAATATGTTAAAGGGGAATGCATTTAATGGGAATACATTTAAGTGAAAGTGGTAAAGACGATAAACTTACAAGTAAATATAATAAAAATAGTAATAATAAAAGGAAAAATTTTAAGGACGGAATACGTTTTAAGGAGGGAATGCATTTAAATTTGAATGCATTTAAGGGGAATGCATTTAAGGTGAATATGTTTAAGGGGGAATCATAAGAATGAATGGTTTTAAGGGAAGGGGGTTACCTTTAGTGGGAATGCATTTAAGGGGAATATGTTAAAGAGGAATGCATTTAATGGGAATACAATTAAGTGAAAGTGGTAAAGACGATAAACTTACAAGTAAATATAATAAAAATAGTAATAATAAAAATATTCTTTTCAACTCCAAATGTTTATGCTTATCTTTTGAACTTTTAGTATCACATTAGGACCTACTTGTTTCTGATTGCTATCAACATTTGTTGTACATTTGATGTGGATTGAGATTGACATTATACTTGGAAAATTATTTCAAAATATAAGCAAATGAAGAAGCAGAATCATATCTAGCATCATAATGTATTTCATTTTTTTTTTTAAAGAGACTTTTCATTACGATTAAATAATTTTTTTGGTACTTACATTTGCTAGTGCAAGCCACTCACACACACATTTGGCTAGTGACACGTATTCAGCCTTTAATAAGTCAGATTTTAAGGTCTTTGATATTTCAGTTCATGATGTTTGCCATGATATTTTATAGGGTGGTACATGCACTCATGAGCCTGTGAATGTTCACACAGTCTTAGTGGCACGTGTGTATCTACTCTAGTCTTTCAAATTAGATGAATTTAAATGATTTATTATTTTTACTTGCAACTTCACTGACAAATGAAATCACTTTGAGGATCTAAGGAAATGGAATCGCCTGTGAGAAAAAGTATGTGTTTGTTTTTCGGGATTTGAACCCCTGACTTTGGGGTTAGGGGTCAGGCATACCTGTACTGGTTCATATTTGACAGGGATGCATAATTTTTGGTCTAGAATTCATCATGAATATTGATTTTCTATTTAAACAAACTATTTTGCTATTCCATTTAAATCTTGTATTTTATTATTTTAATTTTATTTAGCTCAGATAATATAAATTAATATGATAATACTAAAGAAGTTGAATTGTAAATTATACTACATGTTCAATAAAACCACAAATGATAATGTAATAGAAAACATTACATGAATACAAACAAAGCTATTTACAAAGCCAACATCTAGAATTTCTGGAATATCATATATGCTTACATGTGTATTTGATATAGTACTATAGTCATCTTTAGGAGCCAAGTATTATAGATGTATATATTCCAACTTACTATGAATTACTCTTCAGTGTTGGAATTTTTTTAAAAATTATACATTTCTGAAGCCATTAAAAATGCCACAAATTAAAATCATATTTAAACCATAAACTTAAAATTCTGTAAATTTTGAAAGATGATAATAATAATGCTTAATGTTACAGCTTGTAGTTGGCCTACTTTATGATCTAATTACCTGGGTTTATGTTGGTATTGCTTGCCCCAGGCAAGTAGGTAATGTTTCCTAATTGTCATGTGAGCCAATATATACACTCTTTATATTGCTAGTGCATATTTTTCATCAATAAAGGGACCTGTCTACTGTATGTGTTTTATCAAAATAATAATGAAGATGAATTATAATATCGCTCATCTATTTCAAAGATAATTTTCCTGAAAGTGAAAGGAAATAGAAACAGACATAAATTTTGAAGGGTTATAATTTTTATAAATTAGTGTATGTGTAGTATCATTGTTCAGGATGTTTCCACTTTTAATATTTTTATATGGATAAATGCTGGCTCAATTAAATTATCACAGGATAGGATTGCAGATGATGAATTTTTTTGCTTTATTATATTATATCATTTATATTATATTGTTGATATAGATTCATGCATCAAAAAGTTAAAATTATCTTTCAGATGCAACAGAAATTAATAATTCCCTTTATAGTCTTTATGATTTATGATTGAAAGCCCAAAAATATAAGTATATGTAAATTTTGGTTAAAATGTCAAAATGTAATAAAATAAAATTTAAAAAAACTTAGCTTAGAAAAGATATGACATTATTTTCTTTCCAAAATTAACTTTACTTTTAGATTTCATTATGTACGTAGTTTACTTGCAGCACTTTGCAAGTGAGACTGAAAGTGCTTGCATAATAAAAATGAAAGAATAAAGTATAAATAAATGATCAAAGAATTTCATCTGGTCTTGTGGGTGTACTGTAATATACGTAAATTTAACCATCAACATAAAAGCAGTATTTTTTGCTATTAAAGAAATTTATACAAAAAAATGATGAATAAAAAGTTATTAGAATGGAGAAATCTGGATGGTCACATGAACGAGGAATATATATGGGCTCAACAAAAATCCTGGTTTAATTGTTAGTTGGATTGGCACTCCCTAAATCAAGGAAGATGCCATTATTTGAACGCGTTTTTTTCCTTTGATCCCTGTGATTGAATTAGAAAGCGGGAGTGTTTGTTTTGCCATTATCGTTGAAACATTAGAAGCACTCTAGACAAACAATTAGATTAGAAAATGCAGCACGATTCAGTCATGGATGTATGCAAAGTACAACCTAATGGAGGTACACTGATTGACGGGCTACTGTCTGTAAGGAACATAGTTATTATAAGAACAATAGAATGCCAACTCCAATGGACAGTTGTTGACGATCCAAAATCTAAATACCTTATAAAACTACTCTAAATGTACCTTCATCCGAGTTATAATAAGAATACAATGATACTGTATTAAGAGCATACTCAACATACGAAATCAGTTCGTTTCTTTAAATTTAAAATTTTGGACTCAATATTCAGGGATACCAAGTCTCCCAGAACTCGCCCGGAAATCAGGACAGTCTTCTGCACCTTCTGCAAGCAAGCAAGAATCACCCGGAAAAAACCTATCTGCTGAATATTCATAATATTTGCGTGTTTTTACTACTTTATTATCAATTGTCTTGGAGTCAGTGCCGATGGGTATCACCGTGCCTAGCAAAATAAAATAAAATATGTTAAGAAAACTCATTTTTATACCAGATCTCCCGGAAGAAATTTCAGACCCCAGAATGTTTTACATTTTGTCCCCCAGTGTGCGGTGACATTGTTTTATTATGCATAATATCATTAATATAATGTTGCTTAAACTTAAGCACAGTTGAGCTCAAGGAATTTAAATGATTATAGTTTATAAGAAAATAGAAAAAATACCGATGCATATAGTTATTGTAATAGTGCATATTTTCCTGTTTATATGTGGCCATGTTTCCGTAGCACTTATTAACCGATAAATTATCAGAAAGCATAAGATCTTTGGCGAACGCTAGGATAAGTAAATAAACACTATTTTGAACAATTGTATTGCCTTTCCTGGCCATTTTATTTATTTTTTATTTCATGTATACCCAAGTTAAGTCGCGTGACCGGCTGTAAACAAACATCGCTGAATCCCTCTATTGAAAATAATATTTTCCCAAAGTATTTGTAAAAGTATGGGTAACTCATTTAAATCATGGTGAAGTTTTCGCCTGATCAAAGGCTGGTGTGAAAATGCCCAGCATAAAGTAGGGTGTGGGCGTACACCTGAATTGGCTTTTGTGACAATGGACCTTTTTGGAATGTCAATCAAGCTTAACAACTGACCAATCAGAAGAAGGCTAGGAATACATGCATGTCCTACAAATACACACAAGTTGTCCCACAAATGTATGTGTTTATGTGCATTTATGCTATTGATTTGTTAAACCTTAGCGGACAGGTGAAAATAGAGCGAAATGAGCAAATGCTACAAAGAGAAAGTATTATAATATAGTTTGGTGTTTACATTCCCATTCTTAATCTTAATCTTTATTATCCGTAAGTGTTTCCTACGCATTCCTGATCACTTCCTGTAGTTTTCTTAACTGCTTCCCATAGTTACAATCTTATTCAAGAATTAGGAAACAATTTACCTTAAGGTACTATACAGTACTTACTTAATAGCTTATTAATGTAGAAGATCTTAAAGAATATGGATAATTTTTTGTTGGTACCATATAAATCTGTATTACGCTTGCTAATATGGGCTTTATATCCCTGAAATTATGGTTTATTTTGCCAGTTTTCATCAGTAATAATTTTAAAAGGCTCATTCTACCAACTAGATATTTGTGAGGGAGCTATAAGTATACTAGACTGTGAAATAGGAATGCGTGGGAATTATATCCCCTCGCAAACGTCTAGTCGGTAGAACGAGTCGTTTAAAATTAATACTGACGAAAGTCCTTATTGTATCATTTATATCCCATATTTATCCGAAAAAACATTCAACTAATATAATTTATTCATTATTTTCTTACTCACAAAAGGCATTATTTATACAAATAATCTTCATGATATTTACCTGATGTGTTACTTTTTATTTATTTTTTGTGCAATGTCTTGATGTTTTTAGTTTTTTAAATGTAAAGTATTAACATTTTGATGTGTTTTGATATTTTATTTTTGATGAGAAATAAAATAATCTTGAATCTATATTTCTATATTTATATTTTTATATTTTTTTTAATTTTTTTTATTTTATATTTATATTTTAAGTTTCTTTTTTCATCCTTTAGTAACTCGCTCACTTTGCTGTCTTTCCCTCTGATTAATGCTTGTTATCTGACTATTCCATCTTTTCTCTTTCCTCCCTCTGTAGATATTCAGGATGCAACTGTTATTACAGCCAATGACTCAAGTAAGAATTTTTGTTCTGTTCGTTTATTGAAATTTTTTTTTATCAGAATATTAATAATTAATGGAAATAAAAATTATCTAACCTACTTTTGTAATGACAGTTGCTAATTTTCAGATCAAGTGCTCATTAAATTTTAACGATTATGTCCGAATGAATAATGTGAATGAGTTTTTGTATTACGTTATCATAGACAATCAGAATAAAGAACTCAGCATATTTGTATTTCAACAAGTATTGAATAATGTATTCAATCTCAACTTGGCTATGAGAACTATATCTTTGAATTTATTTATATTTATGTAAATTTTTAAGGTTGAACTGCTCTGTCAACCCTTGCTGCATTGGAATGTTATTTTTTTTTTCCTAACGCTACATTCAAATATAAGTTTACTTGATTTATTGATTTTGATTTCTAACATTGAATCCCATTATAATAAGATGTGTAACATAAGTCAAGCAAAAGTATGGTATTTTATTTTTTCAAGGACAGATATAAATAGTCTAGTTGTAAATGTTTTGATTCAGCTAAGGGCAAAATTGCTTACAAATTACCAGCATTCCGACGATGTTTATCTGTACATCTGGGAAAAGACGAGTAATCCAACCTAGAACGAGTCCGTTTAGTTTGTTGGAACCTGACGATTTACCATTAAAAAGCCCCGGGACATTTCAGTAGTGTAAATGTTTCTTTTTAACGTCAGCAATTGGGCATACGAATGGAATATCTATATGTGTGCAGTTGAGTGAGAAAAATGCCTATTTGCAAGGTGTTATGCTTGAGCGAACTGTGGGTACTGGACTGTGAGAGATATACTGTATTTGTGACTCACAATTGCAGTGATCAGCAATACCAGACACATTTAATGGAGCTTGGCTAAGAGAAGAATTAAATTAGAGAATGTTGTTTCTCCTTGAGCTAGTAATTATACTTATTTAGTAACATAGTAATGTTCTTATCTCAAATTTTCCATTCATCCATGTAGCTTACTTGTGTGGAATGGATATGAAAGTACAGGCTACTGTTGCTACATACAGTAGCATAAAAGTGGGTGGGTGTACAGTTAACCAATGAGATGTTTAGGTCCCTGGTTTAATTTCACTGCTGGCCCCCATGTGTTTCAGCTATATTTCAGCTGGAGGGCTGAAATATGATTTACTCTAGTTTATGGTCTGTCAGATGAGGTGTTTTAAGTCATCAGTTCAACATAGCATGAACTGCAGTATGTTAAAGCCCAGTTTGGATGGAAAAATAAATTTTTATATGTTGTACCACTCATTTTTATAAGATTTATGACAAGGGTGTTTGACAAAAAATTTGGCAATGGTTAATGAGGTACCGATTTTTTGATATTTAAAATCTCAAGAGAAAAGGTGGAAAACAGGGTGGTTACGCCCCCTTTCCCCTGTTTTTGAATATCCAACAATCTGTCTCTCATTAACCGTTGCCAATATTTTCATCAAACACCCTTAGCCTTAGCGTTGAGGCACTTGCCTTCCATTCCCAGTAGTCTGGGTTCAATCTATTGAAAATTCGTTCAGTTTTTTTTTTTTTTTCAAGTCAAGCTTTAAATTAAGTTTGACCTAGACAAAGTAACTATGATAATCATTCTCGTTGATGGCACTCTGACATAAATACACAGATTTTACCAAGACTGTCATGGCTTGTGGTTTGTCATGCGCAAATTGCTGCTCAATTTTCTAATCATAGCACATTCTAAAATTAAATGTAGACTTTTGGCGTTTTTAATGGGTGTATGTAAAAGACCTATTCATGATTACTTAATAGGTAAAGAAGAAAGTTTCTATATTATTCTCTGAATTGAAAACTTATACTTAGTAAAACCTTTTTGTGTTATAACTAATTTTAAGCAATCTAACTTTTGTTTATACTAACTTAATACAGGCAGTATAATCTTTAACCATCTCATATTTTTGGGGGAACAACATGCACGATGATGTTTTTCAATTGCGCACGATGCAGCTCTCTGGACTTTACAGCTGTGCAAGTGCTCGATGATGTGATGCTGTCTGGTGATTGCCAGTGATAGTTTAAGTGACTGTCATTGAAAGTTATACATTGCATGTGCCTTGTCTCTTTGCAGTCTCTATGGAATCGCACCAACAACCGGTGGCTGTCGCAGTTAGTGTCTGGCTTTAATTGGTCAGTCATCATTAAAATATCTCAGATGTTTAATGAGAATAGAATACAAGAACAGATTATGACTGATTATGATATTAAATATGATCGTAATATGGTCATGTGACATCTATAAATCTATCGAATGTTTAGTTTTTATTTTTATTAACTTTATTATATATAACTTACTTTAACATTGTACAGCTGATTAATCTATAAGACTTAAGTGAACATATGATATACCATACAACAGACATGGAGATTATTTATTCTCAGTTGAATTTATTAACTCTAAATTTGAATGTTACTATAAGGAAAAAAAGACGACATTTCTCAACGAGTGATAAATATTTGTCGTAAGTAGTTTTTGATGGTCGAAGCGGTGTCATCTTATGTGAAGTGTGGCCATTTTCACAATTTATCCACCAGTGGATGTAAATATCGTTACTCTTACTTTTTAAACACAACATTGTTCCTAATGGCTCAACTCTCATTACAGACATATTTTAAATTCTCTATCACCTCATTAGCCTCCATGCTCCAGTAGTTTAATAGCCATTAAGGTTGTGACAGGATGGATTTTGAAGGCTAGGAATCCAATGAGGAACTACAGCATTTGGCAATCAAATATAAATTACAGCTAGTACAGATCAAATGTGTACAAAGCAAAAATGCTTTTTTTTAGTGGCATATACATACATACATCGCGGTATGTATATAGTGCTTTTTCTTAAAGATCATGTACATTCTCATGTGTTCCTTTTCAGGATTTTTGTTAGATTGCAATCGTCTGTATCTTTAAATCGAAATACCCGTGTTGAGCAATTTTGATTGGTTCATGCTGATTAATGTGTATCTACAGTATGGCTCCTCTGACTGTTCCATTAAAGAATTTTTTTTATTTCAAATGTAAGAAAGTCTTATATTACATAATTTGACAACGCAGTTGATAACTGGAATTAATAATTCAACGCAAGTAGTGCTAATATTTAGAATATTCTATCTAATGCTTTACTAGGACGTTCATTACATTGACATAACTTGTTCTGCTTGTCAGATGCTGTTAAAAATCCAGAGGATTATCTCCCAACACTGTATGATTAATTTCTTTTTCTCGACATCTTTATTACGAGAAGCAGTTTCCACAGTAACCCCAGTGAGATATATATTTGTCAACCCTCTCCCGAGACACGGAGTCCGGCATCTTATACTGAAAAATTAGAATAAAGATAGATACAATCTGTGAAGTCTGAAATATTAGTAGTTTTGTATCTAGATAAAAAATATGATAGCAATAATCGCTCTACCAACTTTGAAAATAAATTTTAGTACTGTATATACTCGCGTATAAAATGAGGCTTAAAATAGCAAATTATGGTCAAAAAAACAGGCGTTCATCTTATACGCGCAACTTACAAATTTGTTTGTATCATGTTTGTAACAGACGAATTTACTACTGCAATGAAGCTACTAAGTGTTAATATGAATTTTAAATACGGGGATTTAAGATTTTGATGAACATTTAAAATCTCATAAAATTGTAGTATTTGGAAGATTAATGCTGTATTTGCCTGAGTTTTTCGCCGGCTAGATGCAGTTTTAAGACCGCATAAAAAGCGGCAAAAAGTATGCCTAAGCAGTTGAGATGTACCGGCGTATCAGATAGTGAAACGGGGGTCGTCTTATATGCCCGACATACAAAAATCATCGAAAAATCTTCTATAACTCGGGGTCGTCTTATACGCAGGTCACACCAGCAAATATACAACAAAATATCTAAAATGCGATGAAAATTCCAACAGGTGAACAATCTAGGTACATCTGAAAAATAACGGCTTATATTTTGATATTTGGTACATTTTTATTTGATTTCAATTTAATTACTTTTCTGTTACTTCTCTTACTTAGTGTAACACCTACAGTACAACTCTATAAGCTAGATGGAGAGGCAAGAGATATACAAACAGTGGTACATCCCGGTACAATATGCTAACCATGATAACATAGTAACATCATAACTGAAATTTAAAATTATTATTATTTATTATAGTCATTCTTATAAACTATAATCTTTAATTTTATAGTACGAGCACTTCAAACGTTCGGTTGTTGGAGTTGAATGGTCGCCTATGTTTCTAGTCGTGGAACAAGTATCCTGAGATAAGGACTGGTGCACTTAAAGAACTCAGTACATTTTGAGACGAGTAGGGAGATAAACCGGTGTTCTGACCCAAACAACCCCTGTGTGTATCTTTTATGTAATTCCACTATCAACTTCTTCAAAACTGCTTGAATTGTTACATATTGTATCGCCATCTGAATTATCCGCAATAATTTTGACTACATTGCTTGGAAAAATTCTGGGTAAAAAAAGTGAGTTTGAGTGTTATTACAGTAGGTAATCTTCACAAATTAGAGGAATATAGAAAAGCTCAATTGAATCCATTTTTGTTAATAATACAGTAGGCTTAGGAAAAAAACAACTGTATTGCAATATATAACCCATCCTTCGCATTCTCTCTTTGAAGTGTTACATAGTGGCAGGCGCTATTGCTCTATCCCCAGTCGTACAAACATGTACCAAAACAAGCTTTATCCAGCAACCATTCTGGCACTTAATGCTAGTTAGTGGTATTGTAAGAGAGGGTTATGACTGGGTCTGTAGGCGTGTTTTTTGTTGTTTAGTTTTTATAATGTAATTGTGTCTCAGAGCTAAATCAATTTCTATGTATTTTTATGATGCAATTGACAATAAGTCAAAATGAATGAAGTGAGACAATATATCTTGTTAATTGAATTACAGGTTCTTTGACCAGCCTGGTAAAAATCAAATTTTAAATACAACACGTGCCTATTTGTCTTCCTCGTACAATAAAGTTGAAATCATTCTAGTACTACTTACTAGTACAGTATAACTCTGAATTATTATGGTCATGATAGCAAATTCTCTCATCTTATACAACACGTTTAATCAAATATCATTAGAAAACGAAATAGAGTGCATATAATAGAGAAAGACGTCAATCTACAATTTTATCTGGCTTAGAGAATAAAGAATGGGTTAATTATAGGTATTCTAAATTTTACGTTGATGAGCCTATGGGAATTACTACTTTTGGAGTACTGTACTTAATTAGAACTTTCATTATTGTTCAATGTTATACTTTCGTAGTAGTTTCATTATACAGATTTCAGGATTGCTTAAAATTACTCGGAATGATTAACCACCCTCTGGGTATATATTTGCGATTATCTTGAAAATTGCGCAGATTGCAGTTAATGCGCAGCGCTCAAACGCGCCCTAGTTCATAGAGTATATTCAGAATCTTGTAATTGGCAAGTTGCCAGTTGGTGAATAAGAATGATGTAAGATAAGATGTTCAGTAGAAAATATAAATGCAACAAGAATGATAAATGTTGAATTATAGAAACACTTTGAGTATTGTAAAACTGATTTATCATTCTTAATGTATGCACACCTAACATACTGTAATTTTTTTGGGCATAAAATACCTGAATTTTACATTGAAATATGCAATGGCATTTACTTTTAAGGTAAATTGTGGTAAAATACATTTGTAGTAATAAAGGCAGCCTTCCCTCAGACTCATACCTTTCTCTTGATTTACCCCATTTCCTGCTCTTACACTGTCATCCTTATTTTAATTGAGTCTGATCATAAATTAAATTCTGACGGAAAGTTATTTTCTCTTAGAAACAAGCTAATGCTGTAATCTGACTTCCAGATATTGTTTACTCATTCCTATAACCAAAAAGCATGCTATTTTTTATATAATATTCAGTCAAAATAGACTGATAAGTACTGTAGTAAATGTATCTTTTCCTCAGACCCATACCTTTCTCCTTAATTTACCTCCTTCCTACTTCTACACTGTCATCTTTACCTTTATTTTAAGTGAGTTTGATCATTAAATTCTTTGATTGTGACGAAAGTTTATTTTCTTTTTTAGAAGGCAAGCTAAGGCTGCAATCTGACTCCCAGATATGGTTTACACATTGCTATACCAAAAATGATGCTAGTTTTTATATAATATTGTCAAAAAATTGAAACAATATCTTTTATCACAATTCAATATGAAGCTTCATTTCTTTAAATATCAAATTCTTATATGATATTTATATGATGATACTTCTGCATTGGATTAAGAGTTGAAATTGAGTACCATGGTAGATTTTATGATATTGCATTTGATCAAACTCTCTTCAGATTCTGAAACCAAAATTATTATTTTTAATGTATAAAAGAGTAGCTTCATCGACGGCAGGTAAATAGAAACGCTTAAGCGTAATGTAAGATATTGGCAATATTTATTGGGAATCGTATATTGGAAGTCAAGTAAAACTTTTTTTTATACCTTGTTTAGCCAAGCTGCCGCCCGCCAACAATGATTGTTTTGAATATAAATGAAATATTATTTTTGGTCAATTACTGCACCCACCACCACAAAAAAATGGAAATTTTAGAAAAAAATTTTCATTTCACCTGCCACTGCCGTGAAATCTCCACAAATTGGATATTTCTTCCTAATTATATAAATTTAAAGCATTTTAACCCATGCCATTAATACACTGAATTGTTTTTGGCAAAACCATTTGCTAAGGGAACAAAATTTTATTTTAATTTTTTCTCCACCCTTCCTCTGACGATCTTTAAAAAAAATAAGTTCTCGAAACAAGTTATAAAAAAAGTCTTGTCTTAAGAACTTAATGTGTTTTTTAATCCATAGTTTCTCATTTATTGTATGAACATGATGATAGTAGCTGCAGAGGATTTAAATACTTTTAGAAATATATTTTAATAATATCACACTGCATTTGTCCACACAGTGATGTATTCCTCACTTGGGCTGAATGTGCTTGAAAGCTAGTGTGATGTAAATTAAATTCATGTTGTAAAAGGCACTAAAATCATCAATGTCATATTGATTCAATTGAGAGTGGAGCCTGTTTGCATGTTGTTTAGAGGCTGGCCTTCCTATACAGCTGTCGTAGGTTTAAGTCATATCAAGATGTGACAGGAATTTTTCTTTTTAAAATAGGCCCTAAGTAATAGTGGCTACATCAGATAGGTAGTTCAAGGTTTTTTCGACAGGGGTCCACACCTCAGCCCCACCATGGTCTAGCTGAATTGAGTACATTTTAAGGAAGATGCGTCAGTTGACTGGAAATTGTGCGTTTTCAAAGCAAAATGCTCTTCAGAGCAGAAATCTCCAATGGAAAGATCAGCTTTCTTTCCCAACAGAAAATCCCTACACTGGTGACCCCTACACTGGTGACCCCTACACTGGTGACCCCTATGCTGGTGTTGCCACTGGGTATAGAAAAGCCTTATATTACTATGGAGACACATTCATTCTCCTTTAAATTTATTCACATACACATTAAAGCCTTTATGATAAAACTTTCACCACAAACACATTTCTTGATGCAGTTTAATTATGCAATAAAAACCAAATGTGAATAGTCATAGAATTGTTGTAGTTGGTAATCCTCTGACTTGCAGATAGTAGAGGGGGAGGAGGGGGGTCCCTTGATTTTTCCCTTGTTTTGTTATCATATTTATCGTTTTGTAGCCTAAGTGATTTGATAACAAGGCTCAATTTTTATTACTTTGACTGTTAATGCCATTGTACGAAAGCTATATGTACCTATCTGGTGAGCTGGAATTGTAGTAGAATAATTATTTTTATTAATTCAAGGATATTGTGTTTTTATTTAGTTGTTCAATTCAAGTGTAATATACATTTTTGATCATTATGAAAATTGCTTCTATATTTTATTTATTTATTTATTTATTTACTTATTTACTTATTTGAAATTCTTATCAAACAGCATGAAGCCCTCCACTTATATATATATAACTTTAACTACTTTAAACTATAATAGAATTATAATTAAAAGATAAGATACAATGTCAGACCAAATTCACATGATAAAGCATTATACCAGTAAAAACACTTACAAACTCAAAAAATAAATCAATAGAATTGTCTTTATAATAAATAATAATAAAATCTTTATTTATTCATAAGAATTGGATTGGAGTTGAGTAGCTTAGTGTTTAAGATGCTTGCCTTCTAATCCCACAGTCGTGGGTTCAATTCCTGTGACGGCAAGAGTTTTTCCCACGATTAAAAACAACTCCACTCCCTAAGCCTCATGAAGAAACTTCGCTGCTCACATTATTTCATTCATTTAAAGCCAACCTTCTAGGATATGATAAAAAAAAAAAGAAAAGAAAAGAAAGACAACCTGTTTACCTCAATGGTGTTATTCACCTCAATGTTTTTTTAACAAGGTCATAAAGACATTGTACCTTAACAAAACTGACTTTAAAACAACTTTACTTTGTCAACACAAACATTACAAAGACTACAAGAAGCATAGACTACTACTTGTTAATGTTACTAACAAATATTGTTTGTGGCAATCATAATTTTATATTTTGATTAATGGTTCTAAATAAAGAACTTTGGCTAGGAACTTTTTTTTTAAGTTAGATTACTGGCTAAATGATTCTTATCTCTGACAGTTGAAATGATCACTCATAGGTGTTTTATTTTTATAGTTGTGGCTACTCTCTAGAGGGCTCACTATATGTTTCTTTACTTCAGTTAATACTCTTACACTTGAAAAATCATTGGTGTAATTTTTGATGCAGACTCAAGTGAAAGTAGGTTCAGAAATTCTGAGACCCAGAGAAAACCAAAATAAATGTTAATCGTAAATCTTGACAAATTTTCAGAATAAGTTGCAAATATATGAACTAATGAAATTTGATATATTTTTAAAAATTATTATCAATAGATATTCAAGAATTTTATCAAGCAACGTTGATGGATGTTGAGAAGTCCCTGCTCCAGAAAATACAAGAAACAAATCAAGTTGCAGACCATTATGAACATCAACAGTCACTCTCAACGCCAACAATCACGAAAAACAATGTACGTTACTTTTATGATTATTTTTAGACGAATTGTTTCATTGTTCACATAAATACACCCAAGGCCAATGTTTGAATCCTAAATTGTAAATTTATTTTTGGTATCTCACTCAATTAAGGAGTACAAGTACGGACAATGTACTCGAACGAAAGCACTTTATTACTACGAAGAGAGGCGATACAGAAGCAACAAGAACCGCCTGTAATTTTAAAATTAAATGTAGTCGTAGTTTGAACTAAAATTTTAACTAGTTACAAATTAACTGTGACCCATATCATACAACTTTTTCAAAGTTATAGCTACAACTAAATCAGGCCATATGAAAACATAGCATTCACTCTTCCTGGCTATGAAAAATAAGAATGCTGATAAGAAGAATTTCCTGTCTGCTGCCCTCTATATGAAACATTATGCTCCAATGAACAGATTCAGATGAAACCTGACAGACCTTATTGGAACACATTAATTTTGCTGGCTTAAATGAGATAAATTCATAATTGAGAATGTAAACAATGGTACTGGATCTGATGGACTGCAATTAACCTGTTTATGAGCCAATTCCCAAATGTATTCCATGTTATTCTTATTCTTTTTTTGATTGATATGCCCAGTTTCAGATGTTGATGACCCTAGTCCTCCAAAGCTAAATTGTATTTAAACTGGGTATTTTTTATTGGTTTATGCTTTTGTCATTTACAGATTTGCTTTGAAAAAAAATGTGATTTGTGATTCTTTTTCTTTTTAAGATACTTTTTAAAATTCAAGAAATTCCAGATTTCATTAGCTGCTTTTTCTAAACCTTTATTTTAATGCTTAGCTTTTATAAGCATACATAATTACTGATAATATCTCCACTTTCTCAATTGTATTTTAGTATATTATTTGTTTACAAAATATTTTAATCAATAATTTGTTATTAATATTATTGTCAGAGGAAAATTATTGTAGTTTCCATACTTTAGTTGTATACCCAGTTTTGAGGTCCAGGGATCGCGACTCTAGTGAGGAACTCTGGATCCCACGTTTGGGCAAGAAGCCATCCATATTACATTTGGGGTCACTGTTTTTAATAAGCATTTTGACAGTCTGAAAATGCCTTCTGGGTGTCAATAAATGCTGTTCTTTAAATTTGCTTACCTCAGTCCCAAACCTGGTAGGGCTAAGGTGGGTATGTATTTCCTGTAATAGGATACCTTAAACCCCTCAGGGGATACTGACGCTGAACCTCCACTGTTCATAGTATTTTATAAATTCTTTTGACATATGTCACCATTCTGCAGAAACTTGTTTACATACCATTTCATGAATATTTATAAGTATAAATTAGGAATATTTATAAGTATTGAACTGGGTGTCTGATTTGATGGTATACTCTTGATATATAGCTTGAAGGATGTTTTGATGGACAGGTTAAGCCTGATTGACACCATCCAGTCGCTTCTAATCAGCGCAAAGTAAATTTGCTTTTGCTGCCAACCCTTTTTTTAAGATTCTCAATAGGTAAAGTGCTTGCAAATACTGGACAAAATATAGACATTAGTATTTCCAAAGATCTGATAAACACAAAATAGTACTCCCCGCTATTCTATGTGTAACAAAATGCGCTATTTTAGTTAACGATATATCTGATGTCAAAACTGAAAAGTATTCACTTTTGTAGGGGGATGCTGTACACTGTATTGTAATTACCGAATTTGCACACAGAAATCGCAGAGAACGCTGTCTTGTAATTATAAGATATTTAGTAATACTAATACTTTACTTTTTTAAAGAAGTTCTTGAAATATTTTTTTCCTTTTAAATTCTTTAAAATTATATTTTATATAATAATCTGTTACCCTTAGTTTATGGAGGAATACTTTTATATGTATTACTCCAGAAACATTTTATATTTATTTTATTTTAGTGCAATTTTTTTAGTTGTATTTGAAAACATGTAACCATTGCTTTGTACGCCAATAGAGGGAGCTCTTGAATTTGTTGCAATACAATTTTTTTTTCTTTTAAAGTAATTTCTTTGATTACAATTTAATTAGCAATTTGTTATAAGGTCTTATATGAAATTAACATCCAAATAAATAAATGTCTCCTTATTTAATGAATACCATTTAGTCACTGATAGAGGGCGCTTTTATATATTTTTTATTTCAGTGTTCTTTTAAATTGCAATTTGCAATTATCAAAACGTATCTCTTTTATACAAATCCGTATTTAGTTACATAATTCCGAGTTATGTTGTTTTAAAAATTGAATAGCAAATTATCGTATGGCAGAGAATCTCTGTAGCGTCTAATTATCCATTATACGAGGAGCATTACCAGAACGAGTGTACTCTAATCATAAACAAGATTCATATAATAAAACTTGATGATTCATTTATTACCATGGGTACTCGTGATTGTGATGACTCATCTTTTTTTATTTTGGATTTTTTAAGGTAATTTAATCCTGACACTAGACAGTTATTTTGTTTAAAATAAATTTTGATGGTTTATTGTGCAAAAAAAAAAGGGTAGGAAGAGGGGTGGGGAGATAATGAGAATGATACAAATTTATGTATTTATGCAAAAATGTTTTTGATTGTTAATTTTGCATAAAAAATGTGAAGATGATAGTATGAGTATAAGGTGCTAGGAATGGATTGTACCACTTTTTTGAGAGGAATGTATTGTTTCCTATTAAAAGGATGACACTTTAATACCTCATCTGGTTTTTGAGAGGTATGATGTCCTACAGAATAAATAGGTAGTGGGTTCAGTTTTTTTCGATTCTCTTCATTGTCTTTTCACTCCAATTTTGGTCACAGTGATAGGACAAAATAATTATTCTATATTATATCATAGTAAAAGTATATTGCGTAAATAATTACTTTTAAATTTATTTTTTACTTGGTATGTTTATTCCTGAATTATTTATATTGTATCTATTAATAAATAGTTTTGATGATATAGAGCAATTTTCTGTTTACATTCTTGTTCCAGGCAAGATTGTACTTGAACCTTGCTAGAGAGCCAATAATGACTACTTATTTATTGACTGTGTTATTGAAATCTAGTGGAATAAATGTTTTTCAAGAAACATTGAATGAGCTCATTAATTATGCATACTGAAATTGTCTTTACAATATGTTACTAACAGTTGTACACTATAACACTATAGGTGCTACAAAATTTAGATCCTCTTATTATTAATTATATTTACTTACTTATTTTTTAGTTTCTATAATACTGTTCATATTATTATTATTCATATCATTATGTTTTATTATTTATATGTTCATTTGATTTAGTCCCAGGAATTGTTTATTGACCTACTGGTATATTAATTTGCGGCATACGGTAGAAGGCGCAGTTTCTCGTTCATCAAAGAGTCTCCATTAGAAAAATACCTCCTTCACCAAAGATTGCTTTCTTGTTTTATCAGCCACAACTAAAAAAAAAAAAAAACTTGATTGGAAAATCCTAATAGTGATAGTAGATTATAATGTGTTGCCATGGTTTCACAGAAACACTAATGTAGAATGGTGATATGAATTTCAGATGAAGTATTGTGGGTTGTGTGTTTGTCGTATTAGTCGATTCCACTTATTTATTATTTGAGATGAGTATTTAAATTTGTTTTATTCCCAGAACATTTATCATTTTATTGACGTACTGTATTTATTAAAATAATCGCCCCGTGGCATTTATTGTATAGAAGGGTTTTTAGGGAGGGAAATGTTTATTTGACGGAGGCTTTTTTTTTTTTTTTTGTGTAAAATGAACACCCCCTCAATTTCATTGTACTACAACATATTCTGTCAAAATGTGTTATTGAATGGTCATAAAAACTTCCTGATCCCAACCAGGTTCTAAGAAAAAGTGTATTCTACTTTAGTAGAACATTAATAAAAGTGTTAAGAATTATGTTGCTTCCTTTAGTTTACAGTTTATTCGAGGAAAAAATAAATGCCTTGGGCTGTTTATTTGAGCGCATCGTTTATTCCAAATGAGGCTCTAGAGGGGGGCGTTTATTCAAAGTGGCAGTATACTTAAATAAATATGGTATGTTTATTTATGGCATATAAGTCAATGAGCTCTCTTTCATCAGTCATCAGTTGCCATTAGAAATTAACTCTTAACAAATATTGCTTTTTTTGTTTTATCAACCATATAAAAAATTACTTAAGATTATTTATTATTGATAGGATATGTGGAGCTGTTATTTATTATTGATAGGATATGTGGAGCTGTTACCATGGTTTTATGGAAAACACTAATATAAAATGATGAATTTTAGAAGTAATGTGGGTTGTCTATTTGACTTATCGATTTCACATACTTTTGATCTCTACGTCCATGATGACGGAAACAGTCCTGATGGCAAAATGGTACCAAATACGCTTTCATGCTTAATTACCTCGATAACATGTAGAACATTGACGATGTGATATTGAATATTCGCTGACGGGGAGAAACCGAGTGCTTTTTAAAAGCTCTTCATCCTAACGATTAGCATGATTTTCTAGTGTTTGGTATTCAGAGAGCATCATCAGTATATAGCTTTTGCCATTGTCACAATTACGTTACAATAGCATCTAGGTTATCAAAATATGACATATAATACTTAGTGAGAAAATCCACCTAATTGCCAATTTTTTCTGAAGTGAGAACCCCCATAGAAATAAAATGGAACAGTCGGCCCCTGGCAGCTTACATGAAAATCCCAGCAACCAATAACACATCCTCCTTCTCTCTTTATTTGTGGTAAAATCTTGAAGATCCTTCAAAAATGAAATTAAAGATATTAAATTTCTCATTTAATGTGGATCAAATGGGACGTAGATGAAATAATTAGGTTTTGCTAATTTAAACATTATACTAAGAAAATCCTTTCAGTAAATACTTTTAGCCAGTTTAAGGGTATCTGCAAAGAATTAAGTTGAGTAATATTAATGGATTGTTAATTGTTGAAGTATATGCTTTCTTGACTTACTTTTTTAATTGGTAACTAATTCCTTACTTAAGTACTATAAGCAATTAAAATATTAGATTTATTGTATCAGCTTCACAAATCTTTGTGGAAGCTTATATATGTTTTTTTTTTACTTAAATGAATAGTTGGGCTTGCATTTATTTGCTATTCTAGGCTATTTTCTAGAGTAACCAACCACAGAGCAGTGAGTATAGGATGGTTATATTATCAAGAAGCAAGGTAGGATTAATGCAGACAAATATACTTGAGAATCTGGGATAAGTATTTTATTAGGACATTGAGGTATTATAGTAAATACTTCCATGATTAGGAACACAACCTATATACTTGTAGGAAGAATGATTCATTCTACATAATGTCTTAACAATTGCTGGGAGCTAAACTATTATTCACTCTTATAGATTATATGACGTGATTGACATAGTTATGGCTAAGATTTTTCATGTACAAATGCTAACAACATTGAATACCAATTGTTAATGATTAAATAATTAATACCATATTTACTGAATATGAGCCCAGTGCTGTGGGGTGACAACAAATTCTACCAAAAATATTATTAATCGGTAATTGCCTATAATTAAATTTTGGATGAAAACAAAAAAAGCAAATTTATATTCTGATATTTAGAGCTCATAAAACACAGGCATTAATCGGGTGTGTATTGCACGCAGTGGCGTATCGCGTGGGGTGGGATAGATGCCCCTCCAAAAATTACTCCCCCTCCCCAAAGTCACAGTCAAGTAGTTAAAAATCATCTAAAGTTTCCTTATTTTGCGAGTTTCCTTCGCGTCCCCTCCATAAACACCTCCCCTTCAAGACTTCTAGATACGCCACTGATTGTATGTTCAATTTTTTTTTTTTTTATTCCTTCCAACATTAAGAATACAAACATAAACAAACATTTAAAATATTGTCAAATTTGGATATGCTCTGCTAAATACCTTCTTGCAACCTTGTAGCCTACCGCAGTTTTGGTTTACCTCTAATAAAAGTTACAAAGTCCCTGTCAAAAGAAATTGGAGTGGAGTTGAATAGCTCAGTGGTTAAGATGCTTGCTTTCTAATTCCAGGGTACTGGGTGCAGTTCCCATACTGTAAGACTTTTTCTTACGACCATAAACAAGATGGTCAATAAATTATTTTAATGATACTTTTGTTAGTATATTTTTTTGCCATTCTTTGTTTCAAAATTCTGTATGATTCCTTGTTTCTTTTGATTTATTTCTTCATTGCATTGAATTTTAAAAATAAAGATAAATTAATACAAGGACTACTTTTAACCTGTACTGGATAGTGAGGAATTCACACATCATAACCAATTGCAAAAAAAACATACTAGGGAAAATTATTCATTGAAACGCAACCTTGAACTTGACTGCCCAATGTGCATTTAGAAGTTCTATTAATCTTTGAAATTTCTACTTTATCCCTCACAACATGTAATAATAATAATAATAGCAAATTCTTATATATAATTTTCATTCTTAAAAATAGAAGTGTAAACCCAATGACCTTGCATGAATATTAGGATCACCAGGTTGATGCTTATTTATAAAAGCCTATTTAAGGCAATCCCTAAATGCAATAATATCAAGTTAGAAACCTATTTGAGGTGGTCCCTAAATATGTATTATTATCAGCATTAACGTCACCATTATTGATAGGTCTACTATTGGAAGTCTGTAGACTGGGCTCATGTCTTAAGGAATTAAGATATAACTTATATAAATCGGTGGTAATTGCTAATTTTATATACAAAATCAATATTAAGAGGTTATATTGGATACTTTATCTTTTAAATAAGTTTAATAAATACTGTTTTGATACAAATGCAATAAAAACTTATGTATGGGATTTGTTTTGGTTAGTTTGTAGATACTTTTTTCTTTTAATAATAAAAAAGGACTTAATAATATAGTTGTTTTGTCTGTTGCAAACTATAAATATAAGACCTTTCCTCGTAGAAATTAAAGATACATTTAGTTAATATTCAATTAACTTGCTGTAAATACTAAACAAACATTTTGAACCTTACTGAAATTAGTTTATGAGAATAAACTAAATCGGACACTAACCACAGGTAGAGAGTTTTTAGCATAGCGTTAAGTATTTTGTTTAAAAATTGTTTTTTTTTTTTTCCCATTCAATTCTATTGTTTTTCTGGAGAATATCCAATTTGTAAGAATTATGAACAATATAATTTATATAGTAAATTCATATTTACTTTTTTATTATATTTTTCCTTAAAAAAATACTTTTCATTAATTATCTGTATTACTAATTTGATATGACATAGCACGGTAAGGACAGATTTCATTGTAGACTAGATTTTGGTATTTTTAATTGAATGGATTGTTTATAATAAGATAATGAACTTACCTATAGTTGATACAAAAAAATATGTATTTATAATTGCATTTTCACAAGTTAACCTTAACTTATTGTTAATAATTTTATTTCTATAATAATTTTTTAGTAAATAAATTTTTGTTTTATTTTCATTATTTTCATTTGTTATTAATCCAATGTACTCGGGATGGATAATTTGGCAATTAAATGTACGCGTTTCACAAAATCCAAGTTCTGTATTCATTACATGATGAAAATGTATATGTGTCATGTGGGCTTCCGTTTTTAGTGCATCTAATTCAGTTGACATTTGAATTGAAAATTAATTTTAAATAATTTTGATTTAATTCTTGTGATTTCTCAGAATGTAATCTGAATGGGCTAATTGATGAGATATAAATTATAATTAACATTCATGCTTCATGTAGAAGGAATTACATCTCCTAATCTCCTAATTAAAGATCCCTCCATTTGAAAGAACATTTTTCTGTGGTCTTATATTAACAAATGTCTTTTATCTTTAATATTCTATTTAAAGACCAAAGCTGCTATTAAAAGACCTTGGAATCCCTAGTGGTTTTTAATTAGAGGGAGATCTTTATAGTGTTTGAAATTGCAAGTTTTATTATTAAGCTGAAATTATAATAAGTAGACATTAATTAAAATATAATTTACAAGTAAAAGCTTACCAATCATAATCTAATCAGTAAATCATCAATAATTCAGCATTAATTTAAACAAGCATCTCTTGTGATTAATCTTTTGTGTTGCTGCCTGTAATATTATAAAATTGTCTCTGGTTTCTCCAAATTCCCCTTCTACGTCATTGAATGCAATTTAGCCTATTGTTAATACTGCTCAATTATAGAATAGTCCTTGGCTCGAGCGCCTGACTCAACGAGTGATTATTATTGTTGTACGACGTCAAGCATGTTAGAAGCTGCTGTGTACTTTGGTGAGTGCTTGAACGACCGACCGGAGCCCTGTTACATCTGATTCAATATTCCAGACAGGTGGTGAAGCCTAGCATTTGGTTTGTAATCCAAAAGGGCTTTATATGTCCTTCTGTGATGACATTACGGTTGTTGGAAAATTGCTGTTGATCACTTATTGTAGCCTGAGTATAAAGGTGCTTTCAAGATGTCTGGATTAAGAGTTCGCTGGTTCAAAAACCATAAGTACCATCATCCCCCAGAACAAGATGAAGTGGAGGTATGGATGTTCTGACATGTAGTTTTATTTAGTAATTAGGTCATCATATGGTAAAATTACGGTAATTAAAATAGGTAGCGTATTATTATTTATTCAGTTGTTAGGATGAATGGTATAGGATTTACATGTGTATGCACCTATGTATGTGCAGTTTATGTGTGTACACATGTGTAGTTTGTGTGATCACATGTGTGTGTAGTTTTTCCTTCCTATCCACATACACACGTGTACTGCATATTGTGTAATTTTTACGTGTTTGTGTGTGATAAATATTATGTTGAGCTACATATTCTATTCAATTTATTGATTGGCAGTTGGTAGCATTCTTGATACAGTGCGTATGTAACAATACAATCATTTTTGTAGGCCAGTATGTAAATATTGGTAACTATAGTATATTAAAATAAACATTCACCAATGCAAACAAGTATTAAAATCACTATATTATATATTTCTGTTATTAATATAACAATTACACATAAATTTTACAATAATTTTAATTGAAGTTATGTACATCTGTGATATGCAGTTTATATATATTAGCAATTTGTATTTATATTTTATGTGGGTTTTTATGGTTAGTTTATATGTAGTTTAATTATGTGTAGTTTGTATGTCCACACATAGATACAGTCTATACATTACTTGTTACTTATTTTGTTACTGTCTTGAGAACATCAGGCCTTCATTGACTGATATCATTTGGCATATACTGCTTTTTTACAGAGAGAGAAAGAGACAAGCAATTCTGAATGCTTTGTATATTGTTTTGTATTTATCAGTATGATATATTTCTTATAAATTTATTTATTTAATTATTATTATATGACTGATAAATGATACCCTAGTATGTAGTTTTCATGTGTGAGCACAATTAATTGTCACTTGTTAGGGTTGCTCCCCTGTTTTTGTGGTTGGATGCTGTGAGGGGGTGATCTCTGCAAACTTCCACCTTGGTCCCATAGGATACATCCTCCTGGTTATAGTTAATATGCAGGTTTCTATGGAGTCTAAACTCTCCCGTGCAGAAAACAGTAGGCCTTGACTACGATGATGATGATGATGTGTGTGTGTGTATTACATACAATTTATATGAGTATTATTCTATATGACGGTTTTGTGAATGTTTATATTTATTTACTATATTTATTCAAATAAATTCCCCCTTAAATAAATACCCCCTCCAGAAATCAATTTTGAAATATTCCTGATTTTTTGCACAACTATAAACTTCCAATGCATTTAGTAGAGCATCAAGTATAAAGAATAGTGTTTGGTAGATGAAAAAATACAAAGATTTAAATGTTTTGTATGATTGAAACTCATGTTAATATGTAAGCTAATTAGACATTTATTTTACCCAATTCATTAGGGACCATAGGCTTAGCCAGCCAGCCGTCCTGCCGTCTTTTGGATGGCCAACAATTATTTAGGACGGCCACTTTTACCGTGACGCCTTGCCTTTTGGCCTGGTCTACCTTTAGCAAATTCTTTATATTCTTCAAATCTATTGAATATTACATTTAACAAAAGCTAAATCATATTATTGATTTAAACAACATTTATTAATTGAATGTACATTGTTTTCATACTTATATTCGGTGGGAATTCCCAAAAATGTAAGGCTTAACTATTGCCTACCCGGTGAAATATTTACTTAAAAAACACTCGTCGTGTTAAAAATATTTATACCCCGCGCTGGAAAATGGACGGTGCTGAGTCACCCGCATGCACGTGGCTCTGGAAATACAATACACTACTATTCGGTTCCCCGACATATTGTTGGTCTCTTAAATCTTGAATCGTATTCTCCATAAAAAGCCAAAAGCTGTTCGTAACTCTGGTTATAATTAATTCATAAAATACTGAAAGGAAGATTTGTTGTTAACACCAAAACTTAAATTTTATTAGTCAACAAAAGACAGTAGGCCTTTATCTTGATTCGGAGGACCTAGAGTAGAATTTACATTAGACTAAAAAGGCGAGAGATGAAGATGCATCTGCATAGCCTAGAAAAATTATATGAGTAGCCGTGTGCAATCTATGTCTATAACTGAAATATTTTTGTGATAGCTAATTCAACACTATTCCGTTGAAGACAAAATTCCAACATTTAAATACCTTTAAAATGCTCTCTAAAGATCATAAATTTTAATTTTTTTTCTAATGTTTGGGAGGGGGCGTGGCCCCAAATCGGAGTGGGCATGGCACCAGCGGCTCAGGGCCACGCCCACTGGCTTCCATTTTGGATGGCCTATTTCGTTGTTCTGGCTAAATCCCTGTTAGGGACAACATGTAAAAATTGTGATTCTATAAGATAAAATTTATTCACATTACGGTAAATATTAACATTTCTCTATACTTTAATTATTCCATGCAGTTGGAAATTTTAGTGCCAAGCACAATTTTGTAATTTTCATAATGGATGCCATTTCGATATTAGAATTTAGTTTACCAAAAAAAAAAAAAGAAGGAAAGATGATATAGATTCATGAATATTTTCCGAATTGATAGATTATTACCATAAAGAAGTAGAATAACGACAATTAAATAGATTATAGTTGATGTAGTATTTTTGACGGTAGAATATGTTTCATATTTTAGAAGAGAATTTATTAACCCTGTTTAGCTAACCTGCTGCCCGCCAATAATTATGATTTCAAATAAAAATAAAATTTTCTTTTTGGCCAATTAACGCAAGTATAGTCGCCACAAAAAAAAATGGAAATTTCAGAAAAATTTTTATTACGCCCCAACCCCCCCCCCCCCCCCGATCCCATTACTACACTGTTTGCATTCACCAATAAAATTTTATTTTTATTTTATCCTGAGTTTTTGATATTTTTAGCAAAACTATTCGCTAGAGTGAAAAATAAAATTTTTGTTATATTTTTTTCCGCCCTTCTCTGACGATTTAAACAAAAAAGTTTGCAATACAAGGTATAAAAAAAGTCTCGCCATACTAAAGTTATAAGGTTATATTAAAGATACTAGTATCTGTGGTTATCTTGCATGCTAAGGCATTAATAGCATCAATTCTTGTTTACATGTTGAGTACTGTACTATCGTCATATGATGAATGAAAATCTCATCTGTGTAAACACAACTAGGGCACGATGGCAATTATTCAATCTTAAACCCGCGTCTTCCATTAGTGTCAGTTTTCCCGGGAATTTAATTACAATTGTGAATTTATATCAACGAGACTTGAAGCTTGGTTAAATTATATTTAGACTCTAAATGTAATTAAAAACCTTTTATTTCTTGAAGTATTTGTTTAACTAAAATTGTACATTACTGTTGATTTTATAATTATTTATTATATTTATGTATTTATTTTTATTTTAACCATGTTATTTGAGGGTGGTCTATCCAGCAAAAAGGTGATCATTTAAGAATTAAGATTATTGTAAAATATGCAAATTTCAAATTTATATTGAAAATTTATATTAAAATAACTTGATATATTGTTATTTTAAACAAAATATGGGAAAATCAATATTGAAGAAAGGAAATGTTTTTCCTTATAATTGAACTATTACATTACTGAACTGCCTTCATAAATTAAAATCTTTGTTGAGGTACAAGTTCTCGCTATGAGTTGTCAATTTTTACTGCTCTTGCCTTCGTAATTCGTAACTCACTGTTGTACAGCAGTAATAAATAAGTAATTTTTACATTAAGCGGTTCGGATAAAAAGATCTGAACACCTAACATTAAAGCGTATTGCCTTACTGTTTTCTATTTTAATGTCACATGTCTGCTAGATGTATTGTGTATGGTAATTATATATACATCTCTTTGAGTACGGTAGCTTTTGACTTTGAGATTTGTAGCGATATTTTTTAGAATTGATATGTTTAAAGATTAAGTTATATTTGAAGCCCCATTGATCCTATTCTACCTGTTGAAAACAAATTCAAATTTAATTTTAATCATTCTCAAAACAGAAAATTATCCTTTGGTACACTTTGTTGAAATTTGTAGTTTTTATGTATGTAAGAGACCCAAATGATTGGCTTTGCTAGATGGGCTACCCTCCATAATATGGTTTTAAATAAGTAAATAACCATGGTCTTGTAGTAAAATCATGGTGCCATCAGGTGGAGAAATATATATTTTTAAAGATAGTAAAAATTGTAATTTTAGACTAAGGTAAAAAAAAAAAAAAAATTGTTTGTTTGCCCTTCTTTTTCTTAAAAATGATAAATAGGGGCGGTTTGAAAAAGCTTTTTTTTTTTTTTTAAGATACTTATCAGATGGAATAAAAATAATCCTAGAATGGCAATATCTTAATCTGACGACAAATTTAGACAAATGTGTAGGGGATCTGGCAAAAAATATAAATAAATTAATTCACATTTTTTTAAAAATTTGTAAAGAAAAAAGCTAAAAAAATTTTTTTTATAAGTTTTTTTGTTTTTCCGCACCTATTTTTTTCAGTTAGGGGTGGGTGGAGGAGGGCAAGCAAACATTTTTTTTTGGCCTAATATATTGGAAACTTCAATCATAGTATCTTTGCTTCAATTGGCAAATTAATATTTTTAGTACAACCACCTCAAGTTACATCTGATGACAGGGTCTAGTCTTGTCAAATGGGGGTATTATACCCCTGACCTCTTCTCAGGCAACCATGGCTATTTGGATGTGGTTATCTTTCCAGTTGTTTGAACTGAGCCAGACTAGTTCAAGTTAGAAGTGAAATCTTAGTAATTGAACAAGGGTAGTGACCCTGTTATAAGCTAAGTAATCAATTGATATCTTGGCTTAGCAAGAATGTAAAATCCTAGCTTTGCAAGTCTTAATCCCAATATAGCTCTTGAGTGTTATAAAATTGGCTGAATAGAACAAACATCAGTAAATCTTAAATTGGATAAATGAAAAAAGCTCAGAAAGAAATTGAATAAAGCTGTAATTAATATATTTCAAAATATAATTTTGCTTTGAAAAAATTATAATCGTGGTATTATGCCTTACATTGTTTTGCTGCATTTGATAGCTGTAACCATGACAGCATAAAGGTTATTTCGGCTTGTTCACAATCATTTGATATATTTTATGTTATCGACAGTCAATTTGCACTGCTAAAACAGGAATAATATGAAAGTAGCTGTCTCATGAATTAAATATTTTTATTTAAACTTATAATTTTAGTTCATTATGATTATGATAATGTTGAAGACATATTGGAATATAGAATCTACTGATTATAGTTTTAGTTTTCTAAAAATATCAAAAGTTAATTTTTAATATTCAGTTGCTCCACTTGCTGCACAAATTAAAACAATTGTTTGTTGATTTAATTTTTTTTTTACTGAACCTTAAAAAAAGAAATTAATAATGTAAATAACAGACAATATAATCAATTAATGGTCAAGGAAAAAAAAAACTTTGAATTTGAAATTTAAATTTTACTTTGAACATCAATGCACTAGCAAACAATATATGGGTGATATTTGGCTTTAGCAAAATAAAAAAATAAAAATTATTGATTGAAAAAATATGATTGAAAAAAAAAAAAAAAAAAAATCTGATTTTCCCCAAAAGTGTTCATATCTGCCCAAGGTTGGTGGGGAGCTTAGGGTCAAGGAAAGGTCACTAGGATCCACCAAATGAACAGAGAGGGCGCTGCATTTTATACGAAATACAAAGCAATTCAGAATAATTGTACTTTTTAGAAAATTAATATTTCAATGTGTTTTTTTTTGTAATGAATTTGACACTAGCAGTCTACAATTTGTTAGTATGTATTTTTCTTTATTATTTTATACTGGTGTCATAGGCATTTTTCCCCTCAGACTCTCACCCCTAGGTTGGTAATACTGGCTTCAAACATTACATGGGGAGGCTACATTTAAGAGTATAGTTATAGAAGAAAAAATA